CCTTCCTCGCCGCCCGCGGCTGACTCAGGCTGCCGAGTCGGGCGGCCTGCGCCCCTCGCACCCTGCGCGCTCTCCCGCCTTCTCCCGCCCGGCTCGAGCGCCAACCCCCAACGCGCCGGTCTCCGGGGGCCCGGCACGAAGCGGGTCCGCGGCCTGCTCGGAGATCTGGCTAGGCCGCCCCGCCCGCCAACAAACGCGCCACGGCCCCACGAACCCGAGAGCTCCGAGCGCGGACGGGAGGCAGGAGGGCGACCCGCGGACCTCAGGACGCCAGGCCCGCCATCTTCCCGCATGCGCAGTGCGCCGCCCCCCGCGCGCATGCTCGCCGCGGCCGCAGAGTCCCGTCGCACTAATGCTCTCCCGGCGCCCGGAAAACCCGGCGGCGGGATTCACGGAGCGGGTGGCGAGGGAGAAGGAAGAGGTGGAGCAGGAATTCCAGGAGAAGGGACCGGGGACGAGATAAAAAGAGGCAGCCGGGAAGCCGCAGCGGAAGTATCTAAAGTTCTTGACGCTAAAGACCAAGTTCTGAGCGCGCAGGGATGTTAACTTATTCTTGAGCTGCCTCCGCGCATCTCACGCGCTTGCCCAGTGTTGACACTTAGTAAATGTTGGTACCAAACCATTGGGGAATCGCTTAGAGCTACGCTCCTTCCTTTCTCTCCTTCTTCCTTCCTATGAATGAATTATTGATTACCTATTGTACCAGGTATTGGGGTGGGCACATGAGATAGTCATTTGAATATGACACAAACTTGATCTCAAATTCCAGTGGAGAAGACAGGTGAATAAACACTTAAAATTAAAAAAAATAATAACATATTGAAACCCTAAAGTAAGGCAAATCATAACTAAAGCTAGAATGTTTCATTATTTTAGTTATTATTTTAGTTATACTAAGTTTCCATTTATATTATCAGAGCTAGGGCTCAGACCCTTTAAATCCATTGTACAGACTGGGTCCCAGACCCATCACATGGCCAGGCCGGGTCAGCAGACCCCTCACACGGCCAGGCTGGGTCCCAGACCCATCACATGGCCAGGCCGGGTCAGCAGACCCCTCACACGGCCAGGCCGGGTCAGCAGACCCCTCACACGCCAGGCCGGGTCTCCAGACCCCTCACACGCCAGGCCGGGTCAGCAGACCCCTCACACGCCAGGCCGGGTCCCCAGACCCCTCACACGCAATACATATTTATGGGGTTCAGAGTTATATTTCAATCCATGTACACAACGTGTGATGATCTAATCGGGGTAATTAACATATTCATCATTGCGTAACTTAGTCATTACTTGGTGATGAGCACATTTGATCTTTTAGTCATTTGATAACATGAAGTAAATCGTTGTTAGTTATAAATTCCTGGGTCGACTGTACACCAGAAGGACTCATTTTTCCTATCTAGCTGTGATTTTGTGTTCCTTAACCAGCCTCTCACTATCTCCCGAACCCGCTCCCCTTTCTCGCCTCTAGTAACCATTTTTCTTCTGTCTCCTTTTAACAGTTTGACTTATTATTATTAATTTTTTATTGTTGTTGTTTATTTCTCTGTTTTAGCTCCCATATAGGAGTGAGAACATGTGGTGGTTCTCTTTCTGTACTTGACTTATTTCACTTAACATAATTTTCTCCAAGTTCATCCATGCTGCTGCAAATGGCAGAATTTTGCTATTTTTTATGGCTGAGTAGTATTCCATTGTATATATATACCACATTTTTTTTATCCAATTATCTGTCGATGGACATTTAGATTAGTTCGATATCTTATTTTGAATACAGCTGTAATAAACATGGGAGTGCAGGTATCCTTTCTACGTGAGGGTTTCCATTCCTTTGAGTATGTGCCCAGTAATGGGATTACTGGGTCATGAGGCAGTTCCATCTGTAGTTGTTTGAGAAACCACCATGCTGTTTTCCATAATGGCTGTACTAATTTACAATCCCACCAACAATTTATAAGTGTTCCCTTTTCTCTTTATCCTCTCTGGCATTTGTTATTTTCTGTCTTTTTGATAATGGCCAGTCTAACTCAGGTGAGGTGATATCAATGTGGTTTTGATTTGTGTTCCCCTGATGATTAGTGCTGTTGAACATTTTTTTGTATACCTGGCCATTTGTGTGTCTTTTTTTGAGAAATGCCTATTCAGCTACCTTGATTTTTATTTGGGTTATTTTTCTTATTACTGAGTTATTTCAGTTCCTTGTATATTTTGGATATTAGTCCATTGTCAGATGCATACTTTGCAAATATTTTCTCCTATTCTGTAGGTTGTCTTTTTGCTCTGTTTATTGTTTCCTTTGCTGTACAGAAGCTTTTAAGTTTGATAAAAATCTCATTTGTTGGGCTGGCCCGGTGGCGCACTGGAGAGTGCGTGGCTTGGGAGTGTGGTGGCGCTCCCGCCGAGGGTTCGGATCCCATGTGGAGACCGGTTCCCGCTCACTGGCTGAGCGCGGTGCGGGCGCAACACCGAGGGTTGCGATCCCGTTGCCGGTCAGTAAAAAAGACAAAAAGGAAAAAAAAAATCTCATTTGTTAATTTTGCTTTTGTTGCCTGTGCTTTTGGGGTCTCATTCATAAAGTCTTTACCCACCCCTACATCTTGGAGCATTTCCCCTGTGTTTTCTTCTAGGAGTTTTATAGTTTCAGGTCTTACATTTAAGCCTTTAATCTGTCTTGAGTTGGTTTTTGTATATTGTGAGAGATAAGGTATGTTTTCAAATCCTGGCTCTCTCTACTTATGTGTTAGAATATCTTAAGTAAGTTAATCTCTCTATGCCTCGATTTCCTCATCTGTAAAATGGGAACTTACCTCATTAGGTTGAATTCTTATCTTATAAGGTTGTTGTGATGACTAAATGAATTAACGAGTACAGAATACTTAGAAGAGGGGCTAGCATGTGTTTGAAATAAAAAGGTATTACAATGTGGTAAGTACAGGGTTGGATGGAAGCAACTGAGAAGATGTTGTCAGACCAGAGCTTCTGCCCAGCCTGAGGTGAGACGGGGAAGGCTTCGTGAGGAATTTAGCTCTCCACTGGTCTCTAAACTTCTAAGGTCATGTTGGAGTGAGCAGGACTGAAGCCATGTTGGGACCTAAAACTGCATGTGCTCTACAAGATTTTAAAAGGACACAGTTTTTTTTTTTTTTTCTTGGCATGCATTTCTCTTAGTTCCCTCCTTTCCCATGGTTATTGATACTTTGAGCCTTGGTTAAGGGGCAATATGACATTATTTACATAAACATAAAGTTGTTTTCCAGCCAGCTGAAGCTGCAAACTTGCCACAAGACACATATTATCCAGACCCTGAGATAGTAGCAAGGCCGGGAGCAGAAGCCAGATGGAGTCTTGGTGAGACCCTGCACCTGGCTCCTTGCATGGAGTCCCCACAGCTCATGTCCCTCTCCTTCCTGCTTTTCACTTCCCACGTTTCATTCCTTCAGCCTCCTGTTTAAAAAGCCCTCAGTAAATCTGAGTCTTTGAGATGGTTTTAATCTGGCCATTGTCCTTCGGATTTATCGGAGAGAAGGGTGAGCCTAACATCTCTCCTCAGGTCACCAGTATTCCTGAATAAAAGCTGACTTCCATTTCCACCCATGTTTGACTTTTGGGTTGCTTGTTTTAGTTTGAGGGCAGGCAGCTGGACTCGGGTTTGGTAACAGATTTTGGGTAGCCTCAGCCAAGAGCTCAATGCCCTGGAATAACAGATTTTGGCAAGCCAAGCCAGGGTTTCTTTGTTTGGGGCAGGCAGCCAGACTTGGACCTTGTAACAAGATTTGGCAAGCATCAGCCAGGAAGTGGGTGCCCCCGTGTATCAGTCAGAGGCCTTCTCTAATTTTGTAGCTCTAGCATCTAGCACAGTGCCTGGCAGATAAGTGCTCAGTAAATGTTTGCTAAATGAATGTCTGGAAATAAAGTAAAAACTAGGGGAAGTCTCTAGAAGACTGTGTTTTGTTGCAGAATGGAGAATTTTCCAGAGTGGTTAAAAGATGCCTTTACCAACCTGGGAGAGCAGTTAGAAGCTCTGGAGACCAGAAATGGCTGTTTTTAAGACCTTTATTCAGCATCTGCTGTGTGTTTGGTATTCTGCATACATTTACTAATGAACATTTCCTATCGAAACTGAAGGATAGGTATTTTTCTGCACAATTAATATATCAGGAAAATGAAGATCAGCAAAATTTCAAAAATTACCCAAGGTGCTAACTAGGCAGTGGTAGAGGCAGGATTTGCCTACACAGCTGGTTAATTAATTTCATATTCAGTTCCTTGAGAAGATTTTTGAAGGGTCACTAGATTTTCTACAGACAGAGGTGGGGTCAAGTGAGTGAAGGTGAGTTGTTGCTGTGGATTGAATGCCCCCGTCTTAGTCCATTTTTGTTGCCTATAACAAAATACCTGGAACTGGGTGATTTATAAAGAAAAATGACATTTATTTCTTACACTTTCTGAGGCTGGGAAGTCCAAAGTCTATCTGGTGGTGGCGACAGTGACTGAGGGGTCTCACATTGCGAGATGGTGGAAGCAGATAGAGCAGGGAGAGAGAAAGAGACAAACCCTCCTCTTCTTTTAAAGCCTCAGAACTAAGACCCTGACCACCATTTTTAATCCATTCACTACTGCAGGGTCCTACAATCCAAACAC